AGCAGCAGTGTAACAAAACCTTAGTATTTTTGACCCCAGAGCCTAGCTCCAGGAGTCCTGTGATTATCTTAAACCCTACAGCTTTCATTATTAAAAAGGAACATTTACAACTACCACTGACAGATAAAAATCTCAAAAACATGAATGCTGAATAGCCCAGAACAAAAGAGTGGAGCAGAAGAGAAGCAGAAGCTGTGTTTTTTAAGCCAGGCTGATGCTTTTTGAATTGGGAATGGTGACTTTTGACACCTGGGCCATCAGGGCTGCCCTACGCTGCAGCGTAGGACCACATGGGTTGTTCTCACTGCTGATGAACTCATCCACAACGCATGAAGATGCCACACCAAGACGTGCTATAAATGAGCTATATTATCTATCAGTGTTAAAAACTCACCAGTCTGGATGATGTCCTTTAGCAAGAAGCAGGGTCCTGTGTTTCAAGAACCTAGAGAGGTAGATCTCTCACAGACAGAAAGTATTGCTGGGAGGCAGTTTATGATGACAGGCTGCAAGGTTATGACAAAGCTCATTTCATACTGCAATTTGAGGAGGGATCTCAAGCAGGTGTTTGGCTGTAAACACCTATGTGCCACACATTACTGTCGGACCTTTGGATAGCTAAATTCAACATAAGCAGAAACTGAGCCAAATGAATGCACTGTACACCCACACTAAAACAATCAAACAACAAACTTTGGTTTGAAGACAAGATTATTCCATGTATGAGAAATAGGAGATGATTTCTGGCTAACCAAACTGCTTCCCCCACTTGGGAATCACCCTGTCATCCAAACAAGCCCACAAATCTCTGTAAGATTACAAGCTATGTTTATCCAGTGAAGAAAACTTCTCTCTGAAATCTACTATCCCCTCATATTAACTCATTACTTCCAGCCACTCTCTGGAAGAACCAGCTTGTTGAAGAAGTGTCAAAATGTGAGGCTGGTCTGTGAGATGACAGATACGCTGTTCACAACAGCAACATTCAACTGCACAAGCCACTTGTAGGTGCCACAGCTCAAATTAAGGATCATTTTCAGATGAGATGAAAATGTTCTTCAAGAAACCTTTCAGGTCCAGGAAGTTTGTTTTGCTTTAATGATCTTCAAAAATTCCCTTCTGGAGTGAAAAAAAAAATAAATTATTATTATGTATGTATCCAAATTCAGAAAGTCACTTCCAAAGCTAAAACCACAGCTGAACTTGCTGCAGATTTTGAAGAAAAAGTATTATCCCAGCTCCTTCGTTCCAGGAGCACATCCTCTAAAGAGGAGAAGGCCCATAATAGGACCCACATGGGCAAGTTCAGACCAGGAGCTTGGGGAAGCTGGCTCTGAGATGTGGGAAGGGACTGCCCACCCACTTCTACCCTTCACCCTCCTTTTTAACAAGACACAGTTGGTTTCTTCTTTCTGGGAGGTTGTTGCATAAGAGGTATTTAAAAAAAAAAAAAAAAAGATACCAAAAAAACACTGTCAAGAAAAATAATAACCAGAAAGAAAACTGTCTCTTGTTTGTTTCAACTGAAGAAGAACTGGAGCAACATTCATGACTGGGAGCAAGGTTTCTGAGAATTATTCTTCAACAGGTGGATCTACCAACTTCCAGCTGGACACAGTGGGGCTGCCTTGGTCTTGCAAAGGCAGTTTCATTTAAAATGGTCTTGTAGTGATAATGATGTTACAAATTATTCACTCGGTGTCTATATTCAAGCCAGAAGCTCCCTTTCCACAGAGTACAGCACATATTTTATTAAAGCACACATCAGAATATATTAAACATTTCTGGTGATCAGGAGAAATCTGAAAAAACTCCAAAACTGTGGAATGGATTTCGGGTCTGGTCCCCAGTGAAAGCACACAGTCCCAACATGTCTGACATCAGAAAAGGCCTCAGTCCCTTTCCAGACTTTGAACCAATGGCCTTGTTTGTAATTTTTAACCGTGATGTTCACCTGCCCTCCATTTGCACATGGAAACATGAGCAGGGTTTCAGCAAAACAGAGATCAGTTTTGAGCTGTAGACAGACAATTAGAAATGATGTATTACAGTTAAACTGGCTTATTTGTGCAGCAGAAAGCTGCACATACAACTTCTATGAACTCCCCATGGGGACCATCCAACGAATTATGTTGGAAAAGCTCTGCCAGATGTCTGGGCACTGTACATCAGCTCTGGTGTCACGTGGCCATCTGGCATCCACCAGTTAAAAAAAGTCAGCACAAGGCGTTTTAACTCACTGGCCCTTTCTGAGTGCTTGCACAGACTAACACACTGAGAGGAACAGAAAGGAACAGGGTAGCAGACAGACAAAAGGCAGCCAACTCTGGCATGGCAAAACTGAATGCTCTGCCCCATTTTACACAAGCGAGTAACTTTGGGACACTACTGTCAGATCCTCTTCCCAACTAGGGCATCAGCGGTTTCCCTGCCAGGGCCAGGAGAGGATTTTTCTCTTGCAACACACTGTTTGGCAGCAGCAAACACTATTTTTGTTTTCCTCTGAGACCCAAGAGGCTTGCTTACAGCTTCAGATGGGATGTTACACACCAGTTCCAGCAGCCGGGAATAGCCTGGTGGAGACAACTTCTTCATGCATGGAGGATTAAACTGATTTCCAACCAAGGAGGTGTCTTCCCCTCCTCCGTAAGCATGGGCATAGTTGCAAAAAGCCTTCCTGCAAATCATCTGGGCACTTTACAGAACACCTTCCTGCTCAAACAAGGGCCAGCAACACTGGTGCCACCTGCAAATCCCACATTTGAAGCGCAGTATGAAACATAACATCCAGCCTTTCCTACTAGGGGCCTTAAGGATGCCGGAGTACAGTGGAGTATTTTGAGGCAGACTGAGGAGAGGCATAGTTGGAACAGCTATTTTCTGCAATCTTTTGTACACACAGCCCCTGCCATGTCTTTTCCAGTGCTCAGCAGGCACTAAGCTGGGAGGCACAACAGAGCCCTTCCTCTCCCAGATTCAGCCCATGGCTGCAACAAAAGCCGTGCAGTGACCCACATCACATGGGTCTGAAGGACCTCGTTCCAGATTCTAACAGCCAGGCATCCTGAAGTCACACATTTGCCATCACAAGGGGCAATGACTGGCCTTGGCCTCATTAATCTCAGCAGGCACTGCAGCCTCCAGCCATGCTGCTGGCCCTTTCACTTCAGAACAACATGTGGTGGATTGGCATCACTAAGCACAGACTGCTGATGCCTGTGCATGCCATGGGGAGCAGATAATTTCCAAGGCTGTTTATATGGCATACAAACACTCTTTTATAAAGGCCATACCGGCATGAAACCACTTATGTCCCTTGGTTTCTGCTCATCACAGAGCAGTCTAGTTACAGCGATGCTCACTGCTGTACATTACGCAAGAAGGAAACGCTGATCTTAGCAGGAACTCTGCGCGCTTTAAAGATCTGACTCGAATGTCACTCCTGTCTCCTCCCCTGATCTCAGCATTGGCTGCCACACTTTGACAGTGGGGGCAAGATCCAAATCCCACTGAAGGCAGTGGGAAAGCTCCCACGTGCTTCATTAAGTTTCAAGCATTTTCAAAAGAGTATTTCAAAGCAAAGAGGGGAAAAAAAAATGCTCTCTCCCCTCAAACCTTTCCGCAAGAGCTACAGAGCAGCGAGCCCTGTGGTGCTAGCCCAGGCCCGCCCCTGCCTGCCGCGCACAGCCCGCGGGTCCCTACGTGGCACGTCAGGTCACCCAGCGCCAGCCACGGCCCCACACCCACCGCAATGCAGCACCGAAATAAACCCCACTATTGAGACAAAAACGCTTTCTGCAAGGTCAGCCATGGGGCTAGGGTGACTGAACCCTTTCTGAGGGGGCGTGATGCCCGTCCTGGGAAGGAACCAGGCGAGAGTGGCTGCCTGTCCTGACAGGGTGCAATGCTCAGGGTGCAGCACAGGGCCATGGCGGTGGTCTGTCCTGCGCTGGACCCAGCCTTCATCAGACCTGGCATCCCCATCTCGGCAGCACGGTGTGACCTTGGCCAGCACCAAGTGTGTGAGGCAACAGGACCCAGACACTGCAGTAAGGCAGATTTGGCAGAACACACAGAAGCGTACACCCGTTGCTGTCACTGTAACTGCTACAGGCTGACTTAAAACCTGAAGCACAGCCTCCAGAAATAAGTCCTGACTTCCACTGCTGGTGCTTCCCCAAAAACCTCTGTACACTCAGACACCACAATAGAAACCCTGCCACAGACCGTGAGCACAAGGGCTCTGGCCCTGCGAGGAATTCACCAGCCACAAAGCACTTGGAGGCAAAACCAGTGGGTCCTTCAGAAAAGATGCCGTGCAACTCACCTGCTGATAAGCACAACATTTTATTTCCCAGGGTACTTCAGTTAGCGTCTGTTTCAGTAATATTTGACATTTTGGGAAAACCAAATCTTGGGGAAAGAACAGCCTTGTCAGGTATATTTTGGTGTGTTTTTAAAGCAAGGTGACAAAACCTGGCAGGTTCCCAAACGCAGAAAATAAAAATTTGGTTTGGTATCCAGATTAAAGGGATGTTGAGCTTATACCACTCCTTTTATAAACCAGGTAAGGAAGCTCAGTAACAACACTCGTTCTTGTAGGAAATAGGCTGCCAAAAATGCTTTTTAGTGAAAAGTTCATACTGAAACCAACTTTTTCCTTCCATTTAAGCATCTGATTCCTATAAAAATGTCTTTCCCGAACACTCCGAGACAAACCTCCAGTTACGAAAAATGTTTTGCTCCCTAGATTGAGACACAGTGGTACTAAGAAAGCACAGACCAACCCACTGCAGAAGGTATTTGAGCAACAGCTTTTCCAAGGCCCCACAGCAGCATCTCCAAACCAAAAATCTCCTCCCTTCAGTTCTCTGAAACCTACTCCAGAACTTTTTAACGCCTGCATGCCACAGAGCCCCACTGACTGAGCCGGCCTAGCTACTAGGAGCTACTAGGAGCTAAAAGGAGCGTGTGCCAGTTGAGACGAGATGAGACCGTACCATTTGACTTTGGAGCCATTCGATCAGAGCCTCCGCTGTCGAGTCCGGGACCTGGCAGCGCAGTCCCTCTCTCTCGTCCGCCTCCATCATCTCCAGCAAGCCCCGCAAGTCCTCCACCAGGTGCAGCGCCCGCAGGCCCCCCATGAAGGGGGAGGTGGGGGACTGGCAGTCAAAGATGCCGTTGGAATATTCCAGTGCCTTTGAACCTGCGGGGAACAAAACCGCACAGGGTCAGGCATGAGGCAGGCGGGTCCGACCCTCAGCAAGGCGACGTCTGCTCCCGCTGGCACTTCGCTGAACAAACCCCACCGGGTGCTGGGTCCTTTCACTGAACAAACCCCACCCGTGCCACGCAGCCGCTCAGAGGAGAAGCCCGGGCTTCTCAGAGAAGCGCTCTGCGGCCGGCAGCCCTGCATATCGCCCCTGGAACAGGCTCTGCTGACGCTCTGAGCCACCTCCAGGGACTGCATGACCCAAGTCAGACAGCGAGGGTGTACAGAGGAAACCATGCTCTGCATTCTTCATAGAGAAATACGTTAGCTGCTCCAAGGCACTGGAAATTTTTTAGAAGAATAAAGGAAAATATGATGATAAACAAAAAGACCAAATCACTTCTACAGGAGAATACATTTAAACCGAACAGTTTGACAGGGTAGTACTGACATTTGCATGTTAATAAAGAGAAAAATCTTATTTGCATAAACTCCCAGTAAGCATATTTGACCTACATTAAAATTCGCTATATACTAAAGTGAGGTAGGAAACTATGAATTCAGGATTAAGGCTGATTTAAGTCAACCTAGCTAATTCCAACTATAATTTCAGCACACTGATTTGTGACCTTAACACTGTAATGACTCAGCACAACGAGGTGTGTTCACAATAGAGGATCATTTGTACTATCAACTTTTGGAAATTACAGTGATATGCCATATATGCGCTTCCATGAACGTTCATTCATCTCATCTGTCAAGCCACAAAAATGCGAGTATTCTGCTAATTCCCTTTGAAAAAAAATAAAGAGAAAAATCCCCACAAAGGCATAGGAGTTGTTATCCCATTGTTATTTTATAGGTCTGTTCAGACACATGGGTAAATGAAGATTCTGGTGACTTAAACATCCCAACACCACACTTTATTTTTACATTAAACCTCATCCTGCCATAACCAACTTAGGCTCTTGGAAACACAGATACATGATCAGATTCAAATACCAGTATCTACTTATGGAAATTACTGAAGTCACAGCTTGTATGTATTTTTAGAGATCATTATGATCCAACTGAATCCACTTTACATGTGTTCCTGCTATGTGTCCTTAATATCTTTAGGAAAACTGCAGAGAAAAGTCATTGTTCAAACAAAGCACGCACTGCATGATGATTTTTTTTCCCTAAGGGAAATTATTTTAAGTGGAACTAGTAAAGACTTTATAACCATGTTGCTATCCTTGCAGAATATTTTTTCAGTTTGGGTAGCTGTTTGCATAGCTCTGCTGGAACAGGATTTGACTATTAATTTCTTGCTGCTTTGCTCCTCCGTGTTGTGTACTTATATTATTTTCTAAGTCACTAGACTCAGCTTAAAAGCAGAGGTTGGATACTTTGCAACGCCTCCCTCTCCTTGTTCCACTTACAATTTATAGGTACTTTAAAAAAAAATCAAATGTTCAAGGCAGATCCAAACCAAATGTTTGGACCCAGAGCATTCCAATTTTGAAAAAAAGGAAAGTTCAATTCATGTTTTAACTCTGTAGTTGAGAGAAGTTCATAGTAGCCAGTATTAGGCAAACTTCCTGCCTTGCAGCAGCTCTTTAAACACACTCAGCCTGGTTTGAAACAGGCCTTGTCCATGGCTTTCCTGGTGCTGTGTGCACCAGCTGAACTGCAACACTCAGTCACTTTCAGCAGCATTGACAGAGGCTAGGAGAAAAACTACAATCCATTTATCCGTGTCTGTGTAATCCCCCCACTCCGTTTACGTGTAATTGCTAAGCTATAATGGGAGACACCAAACAGAATTACCAACGCGTTCTCTTACCAGCCTGAAACTCTGCCCTTCAGGTATGAGAAAGGAGGACCGAAGCAGCTAAATGAAGAAGCTGCCCCAAGCGTTTACCTGCTATAATGCCATCCATCTGCTCCAGAGCCGCAGCGAGCATATCACTTGCATCACTCATCATCTTCTCTCTTCTCAGGAACTATCACCAGCTACACCATAAGGAGCAATGAAACACCGAGAGTGTACGCTGGATCCAGAGCCTCAAGTCTGTGACTCAATCTGCAAAAGAGAACTTCATTTCACTGCATGTTCTCTGAATTCACGACACCACCATCGTTGGACCAGCAGGAAGACTGGGGCCGTTTGCTTGACCACAAGACTCGGAGGTGTTCACCACCAGGCAAGAACTAGTATCAAAGAATCAAAGCACCAACCTGATGACCCAGTTTCTACTCTTGGTCAGCCCATGGCCTGCTTTGCCTACAAGTCCGTGCCACTGAAGGGGCATCCCACAGAGCACCTCAGAAATCCCACATGGTACTCCAGGGGAGCTCGTGTAGAAGACACAGGCCCTCTGTTGCTAAAAGGAAACTGCAAATCAGCAATAAACCACATGTCTATCCACTGCATTTTTTTCTCCTCAAGAATTTTACTGGTATAGGAAAGGAGGAGCCTGACCATTTGCTCAAGATATCTGGATGTCTGACAATCCAGAAGTCCTGGGCATGCAATCATTTGCCTACAGGCAGGATATCTCTGACACCCAGGACTCACTGGACACAGCATGCACGCACAGACTGCCCCCCTGACAATGCTGCTCTGAGCCTACCAGAGATTCACGCCATAACAATGCAATCTGATCTCATCCTCAAGCTCTGAAAAGCCAGAAGTGGTCCCGAGAGAATTATTTCCAGCAAAGCCTGAAAAAGTGAACTTGCCCGCTGTGCTGCCTGGGCAGGTGAACTAGCAGACCCAAAATCCCAACAGTCTGCAAATTAAGAACATGCTTAGGTACTCTGCTGAAGTGGAGCTGCAGAAGTCAGAGGTGTACACAATCCCCCACCCTAGCACAATGGACACACGAGCCACCGAAATAGCCCAGATTGCCATGACTTTAATCTAGGACACACGAGACTACTTCTGCTATAAATACAGTTAGGGAACAAAGCTAAACAAACACCAGGAAGGAAAACTCCCTTTAACCTTTTGCATACGCTGCCATTTGTTTTTTGTATTAGCCCTAACCACTGCTGACATTTGCCCCAACACAAGCAATTAAGACAGTTGTTCACGGTTTCTTTGGCATAAGTCCTGGAAAAGAGCCTACTAAAAACCAAATCAAAATAAAAATTCATGTTATAAACTCAATTTTCCCTCCTATGAGTCATTCTATTGGTTTGATCCACCTGGGAGGTAGCTCTTACTGGAGACCGTCTGATAGCTTTGCTGAAATGCTATCCTTAAAATGCCAACAAACATTTCATCTTCCACATCAAAACTTTTATTACATACAGTAGGTCCAAACTCGAATGTAACTTCTGAAGGACAGCACAAAGACTACTGCACTTCTGGTAAATGCCCTTTTGAGGTCTCCATCCTTGGAGCCACTCACAGACTGACTGCCTGGCACAGCCTACCCTGAGCAACCTTGCTTGGGGTAGCAGGTGGGCTGGAGGCTTCCAGAGGTGCCTTCTCACCTCGGCCACCATTGGAGCTCAGCACAACTCACAATCGAACATTAAATACATTACTGAGGAGGCTGCCTTGGCAAAGCCAAGCTGCAGGGTAAAAATGTGCTAAGGAACAGAGCGCTCCCTAATCAAGTTTATTCACAGTGCCCCCGCCCCGTTCCTCACCTGTCTAGGGGAGTCACTAACTGGGGGCAAGGAACTGCTAATTTACATTTGCACAAAAAAGCCATGGCTCACAGGCACAGAAAAATCACCATCCCTGCACTTCATCCAGGCACAGTCACTCCTCATGTTTCAAAAAAAAAGTACTCGTTGCTTTTCCTAAACAAGGTTTTTGTCCATGGTTATCAAAAATGCCTAAAACAGCTCTACTGAAGGGAGTAGCAGTGGGAGATGGTGGTACCAACACCATCCAGGAGACCTCCAGCATCTACCTCACTGTTACCAGGTCCTACTTCCAAGGAAGGAGAAACATCAGTCTGCACAGCGTTTCCTTGACTGTTACTGCAAAAAGAGCTGTGCTGCCAAGAGCAGCAGTGAGAAATTTTAAGATACAATTTAGTGAAGCAAAACCGTGTAAACACACTGAGTTCCAAAAATCCTTTCACCGCTCATAGAGCATCTGTTAGCAGCCTGACCAAGCTTACAGCTGAGAAACTTGTAGAGGTGAAATAAAAGGAACAAAAAGCCCCCGAGCCGAACAGCTGGAGATGACGCAAGAAAATCCCATTTCTCCAGCTATTTGGTCCTAAAAGTGGTCATTGAAAACCAGCCTGGAACGGCACATCCTGCCCTGGCCACCCTCCCAACACAGTGCATCCATCACATCTAGCAGTCAGGAAGCAAAGGTGCTGTGATAGAAAAGTAGTACTGGAGGCATCCTTCCTCAGTAAGGGCACAGAATCATGTTTGTTCTTCGCACACCATCGCCAGCACACAGAAACAGATGGGCAGGGGTGAAATCGAAGACCTCATACACCAAAAGACCAAAGAACCAAACTGCATGAAATGAGAAAAGATAACAAACCACAGGACGAAGGGGGTGGGAATGGGAGGTGCAGCGGGAGTCAAAGATACGCAATTATTAGACAGAAGTCATAAATCAGCAGCCTTTCGGGCTTATAGGAAAGAGGACAATACGGAAACTCCAGCGGATTAATCCCTGTGCCTGCTGAAGGGCACCGAGACTGCCTCTGACTTCACAAACTTTGAGAGGAGTCTGGGCTGACCACTAACACAGCAGACCTTTCCCCATACATATGTTCCTTTCTTCATTTTGCTTTTTATGGCTTTGGTTTAATAGAAATAAAACCTAAGAGAAAACACAAAGCTTCAAGTTTTTTTTTTTGTTGGCAGTGACTAAGAAAAACCACACAGTCTAGTAACATGAATGAAAATCCATCTTGAAGTGCAATGGAGTTCTTTAGGAAACTAAGGAAAAGCTCGTATTTCAGATGATGTCAAGCAGTTTAAATTCATTTCATTCACAAAAGCAACAAGAGGAAAAAAAAAAATCATCATTTTAACACAGATAGATCTATGACACAGCAGATGAATGAGAAACCAAGGTGCACACGAGAGATGGAGAGGCAGATGAACAAAAGCCACCCCTGGCACAATGCCACTGAGAACACACCTGGGAGGAAGGCACTGAGAGTACCCTGTCTGACAGACCGCTTAAAGTAAGTTCTCCCTTGCTTTCCAAGAAAACGATGACTTACCTTCCTCATTGCTTCAGCACATACACAGTCAGTGCAAGATGGGACAGGGGGGCGGGGGGTGTTTTTACAGAAGCAGATCCCTCTTCTAGAGCCCCCAGACGAACACCATGCTCATGCTGGCAAGAACGAGCACCACTTCACCAAGGCTCCATTTACAATCCACCATTTAAAAAATAAAATACAAACAAAGCTATCTCCACTATTAGTTATGATTAATCTTATTACTAGCTGGCACTCCTACTGCATCCCTGGCTGTTATGGAGAAGATGTTATTTGGTCTTACTTGTTCAATGTACCCTCCTATGGTTTGAACACACCAGCCGGTTGCTAGGGCTATGCTTGTTCACTTTTCAGTAGGTGGAGATTTTTTATTTTTATTTTTGAATGACATACAAAGCCTCTGGCTACAGTGCTAGTGAAGATGTATTCCAAACAGCTTACAGAGAAAACAAAACACTGCCCTGCAAATAAATCCAAGGAAAGCTAGAAAAAAAAAACAAGGGGCTTTGTGAATGGGAACTGCAGTCTGCTGGATGCATACAGGAAAGCTGCCTGAATGTGGATTTAAAAAACAGATATTTAATTAAGATGGCAGACTTAAAAAAAAAAATGTAAAAAGTGCTTAAACATTCTACATATGTAGGCAATTACAGTTTCCCCACTCAGAGATTCTCTTTCCTAGATCAAACAACACACAGACAGACATCTAGGGGCAACATCTTCAAGTTTGTTTGGGGTTTTTTTGTTTTTTGGTGTTTTTTTTTTGAGGTGGTCTTATTCTGAACATCCACCTGCAAAACACAACACACTAAAATCCAGAGGTTTGCAGAGCTGAGGAGAATCAGCTGCCTGCTATCAGGTCCAAAGGCCAAAAGGACACACTGTGACCTGCCCTCCAGGGAAGGGCCTTTCACCCCATTCACCTTCCTCTCTGTGCACATGCTCTGCAAACACTCAGCGGTCGGAAAGAAAGCATCAGCTACAGATTATTTTTATGATTCGATGCAATAAGATGGATGACTTGAGTTTCTCAGCTCTCCCATTCCTACATAACACTCCTTAAATCAGGAAACTCTGATACACAGAAATGAAAAAAATCTCAGTTTGGGCTTGTTTCTGAGAGCTGTAGAGAGTAAAGAAAGAACCCCCAAGAGCAGGCTGTTACACAGAGCAGTCTACCACAAAAACACAGTGAAAAAGCCAATAAACTGCAGTCACCTCTTACAGGTAAGGTAGAGGGAGAAAACCTGTTACACAGCAAAATTAAGATCCCAGATTTCACCTTGCTGTTAAAATAAATGTCCCTGCATTCTTGGTCCTACATGCACGAGACAACCAAAATGTCTAAAGCATCTTCTGGATTTATTTCTCTGACTTTCAACGCTGAAACAACACATCCTTGGCAACTAATTTTACAAGGTAAAGCTCTATTTCATGAAGAGAAATGCCTTTTCAGACACATTATCATATCTATTTGTGCTTTTTCTGGCTGGCCAGAAGAGCAACACAAACACACAGACTTATTTGCAAAATACATTTCAATGATAAATAAAATGGGCTTCAAATGAATTCAGTCTAAATCTCTGGCACAATATCTCATGAGATGTTTTGAAGAGACTCAACTATAGTGCCACCAGCCAGAAGCATTGTAACACTTATTAATTAATATCTTCAGCTAATTTACACTGGGAGTCATTAACATTTATTTTAACATAAAAAACCTGCTCCATTTCATACCTTCCAGGCCTGAAAGAAAAAGCTAAAAAAGAAAATGGATCCTTGTTGAATATATTGCTCTGTTGTCCTGCAAGCCAAGAACAAATTCAATTTTAAAAGTAAAATAGGAAATGCTGGAAAAATCTCAATG